TTTAGAAGGGTATCTTCTTATTTTAGTAAAACCTGGTTTCTTGACAAGATGGTGCAACATAGTTTGTGTAAGATTGTTCGGGGACCAAAAATTAAAGTGGGTGCAAACCGTAACTGGATGACATTTACTTTTAGAAGAAAACTTTTTAAAAAATTTTTTTGCCCTTTTTAAATCTCAGTTCTGCTGACTTCCTGCAGCCCGTTTCACTCACTTTCTGTCCATATGTATGTGCTCCATGGTCAGCTTCATGTCATGGGGTCCGGGTAATCTTCCTGATGGTAACATTGGAAGACCATAATTGTGCAATGAGTGTTCGCACAGCTGCTGATAGTCTTCACTAGAAGGACATGTGAGACAGTGACTACAGAAAAAAAAATTCAGGAGATAGGGACAAGGCATTTGAAAGTGTGAAGAGATTAAAAATTACTTTTCAAAAAAACATTGACATGTTAAAGGAGAACTATGGGGGTTAGGGCTTTTCCCCATAGTTCTCCTAAGGGTCACGGGAGAACACAAACTAGCTTTCTCCCGTGAGACGCCGCAGCCAGAACGGATCCCGACAATACTGTCTGGATCCACCCAGCTGCGTGAGTGGCAGCTGGTCTGCCTATCTAGAGGCAGAGCCAGCTGTGCCCGCCCCCTCTCCCGTCCGTTCTGCCAGTCAGCACTGGAGGATCAGACAGGGGAGGGGGGAATCCCTGCAGGGAGCCATGAGTGACAGTCACGGCCCTCTGCAGGGATAGATCAAGAAGTGAGCGAGCGACGGTATCTGTTCGCTCACTTCCCGATCTACTGAGCCGACCTGTGACAGTTTCATTGTGTGAGTGAAAATCACTCGCCTCATAATTCTCCTTTAAGGTTATATGAGATTTTAGTGATTAGGTTTACATATACAGCTGTACTTTCAAATTATTTTCTAGACCCATACTTCATACATGGGGAACATAAGTAGCCACCCTCCAGAAGGAAGGACAGTGTCAGCACAAATTCAGAGATGTGTTGCTGTCACTTTAAGCACCAGAGCTTTCTGATTATAATTTTGTTATGACCACACAATGGCATATCACACATGGTTAGAATGAGACTAACAGTATCATTGCTAATACACTTATATTGTACACTGTGATAATTTATGGATTTGAGGAATTTTTTGAATCTTTTAGTGAAACCAGGAGGCATGATACCTTTTTTTTGTATCCAAACAAGTTTATTTGAACACACACAAAAAAAGATTTTTTTGGACAATATTTATATAATTTGTAATCTGTGCATTGATACAATTACAAAAATAGACTTTAATCATTTTGAAAGGGAACTGCAAAGATTTCACAATTGATTTACTAATGTCCATTTATAATTCAAGCAGTAAAACTTGCTATAATAATGATATGAATATTCACTATGATGTATATTTCATATGTCTTATATTGAATGTTAACCATAACAAATTTCAGTTTAAAACATTACAAAGAATAAAAGAATTCCTTCGCCAAAGGGACATTATCAAATTTTTGCTTTTTTCTTCTTCACCATTTGGGAAACGTATTGCTAAGATTTAAAGCAATCGGGTACTGAGCATAAAGAAATTAACATATTGGTGAGTCTGTAAAGCAGAAATCATAAAACTCTACCCATAACTCCAATCCACCACTGCAGACCTAGTGAGAAATCCTTATAATACCTGCTGTACACCTTCACCAGTATTTGATTGTTTCATGTTAAGGACAAGGTTGTTTAAGAAAACAAATGTGTATGTATATATACATATATATATAGAGAGAGAGAGAGACAGAGACAGAGAGAGAGAGAGAGAGCAGCCACCATGATGTACTGTATATTTGTATTTACATCCTCATCTTATTTTTTGCTAAAGCTATCTAGCTTTGTACCAGAGTGACAGATGTAATCTAATCCAATTAAAACGAAAACAGCGGGGTGGCATTTATATCGTTTCACAATGCCAGAAGTGAGATTGCAGGGTATAAAGAGGGTAGAAGATAAGAAGGCATTATCTGATATCCTATTATCTCTCTAATAACTATATCAGTATGTATTTTTTTCAAGGAATATTTAAATATAAATAATCAAACACTTGTCATTATTATATGCTATATATTTGAATTGCATGTACGAATATGAAGGAAAATACAAAAAAGGATAAAGCGCACTCCTGTGGGCACAATACAATTAGGTGGCTATTGTGTAAGGGTGTGCAGAAGCTCCTCAATACAGGGAGAGGACCCTGTCTATTCAAAATTGCAGATATGGACAAAACAGGACAGGAGCGCAACTACCAAAAAGGACGTAGATAGGTTTGTAAAGTACAGATTGTTAATGGATCTTTGTGTGTGTGAAAAATGCATATATATAACACAGTTAGTAGTGGACAAAGGGACTTACGGTTCGAGGCTCCCCCGTGGTCGGTGTGGCGCCCTCCTTTGATAGGTCCAGGGTCGCAAGAGTGTCCCCGGTGGTTCAACGGGCTGGTCAGTTGGGGGTGCGCATCCGTATGGCCGCCCACGAACTCGGCTGGCCGGGCCGAGCCGCGTCGGTCAAAAACGGAAAGAATGGGAAGGAGCTACACACGGCTAGGGCACGTGCGTCGTGTGTCAGTATCGGTAGCGGTGTAGGTGGTAGAGGTCTCAGGTGGTCGGGTGTCTCCAGTGGCTACGCGTTTCGAGGAATCCTTCTTTGAGGCTTGAAAAAGAGGGATTCCTCGAAACGTTGAACCACCGGGGACACTCTTGCGACCCTGGACCTATCAAAGGAGGGCGCCACACAGACCACGGGGGAGCCTCGAACCGTAAGTCCCTTTGTCCACTACTAACAGTGTTATATATACGCATTGTTCACACACAAAGATCCATTAACAATCTGTACTTTATAAACCTATCTACGTCCTTTTTGGTAGTTGCGCTCCTGTCCTGTTTTGTCCATATCTGCAATGTACGAATATGTCATAATCGGTACTTATGTTCTATTACTATCAGGGGCGTAACTAGAAATCACAGGGCCCCATAACAAAATTTTGTATGGGGCCCTGTGATTTCTACTTACACCGCTTGAAGAGCCCACATAGCTCACCTGAGGGTGACCGTGCAGAGCCTACCATAGACTAATGAACAGCGGCGCGTTCGAACACATAGCGACCCAGGCGGCCCGCACGGAATCAGGGGGGTGTCCTGGCCGGGCCCCCCTGTGCCCGGGCCCCATAGCGGCCGCCTGGGTCGCTATGGCTATTGTTACGCCACTGATTACTATAATGATGTTTATGCTTGGCTTTTAGTTACTGGACCAGTGCAGTGTTATGGTTTTAAAAAGTTGTCTTATTTCTGATTATCATTTGTATATTATCCTGTTTAACATATGAACATATAATACATGACAAAAGTTCTCAAAACACTATGGGATGTATTTCTAAAATGTTCACAGAGCTATTCACTCTGTGAACATCTGGATTTTAGATTTGTATCCCATTGGCCACTAGATGAAGCCGAGGAGCACAGAGGAATACTATCAGGGTTATTCACAAAAGGGTGAAGAGTTTGGGGGAGGCAGGAGAAGTGAACAATCTAGGACAACATAATTGAACTGTAAAGTGAGCTGAATTGGAGAATTTTTCCAAATCAGCTATTTTGGCCTAGATTGTTCACTTCTCCGGCCTTCTCCAAACTCTTCAACCTTTTTGAATAGCCCTATCAGCCTGACACTGGGGCTGGGTTGTAAAGCAGCTGACCCCCTCTCTGTGAGTCATTGTAACAAGATCACTGCACACCAACTCTGCCTCTTTACGTCACAATACACTAACCAGGTGAGTTGCCATTATGAACACTAATAAATAGGAGGAGAGAATTCAGAGAGAGAGTGTTCATTTACACAGTCTTCTTGCAAAGCATAGGGATGGCCATTTCAAATTGAGCTATGAGGAGCTATTTTGGCCTAGATTGTTCACTTCTCCGGGCTTCTCCAAACTCTTCACCCTTTTTGAATAGCCCTGTATGTTTCTCAGCTCCATCTAGTGGCCATAATTCAGTGCAAATCTAAAAGTCAGATGCAAACAGCTCTGCAAAGGTTTTATAAACATACCCCCTTATGGGTTTGCATCATAAAGAGCTCTGTCTGATTAAAACTGAGCCCTCTGATACAGGATGAATGCTGTGAATACTCATTGAATTTGGTAAACAATTCCTATTAGAATTATCACAAGACCTTTGGCTCACATTCAGATGATTAAAGACCAATTGAAGTCTTACACCTTTTTAATCGATTTATAGCCCTGTACCCCCACATGTTATTTTTGGCAGTGTGTTTTTTTTGTATGGAAATGCCTTAAAATACACTGGCTTGCTGACCTTCCACTCCCACTACATTATGCTGGCATAGTTAAGTAACAGCCACACCCCTCCTCAGATGTCCTCACTCAGACTTGCAGAGGGAAAGAAGGGGTGTGTCTGACCACTACTATTTTTTGAGTGCTGAATATTGAGTAGAGTAGGTCTACCTCTTGTGCCTATTGGACTGCACAGTCATATTTAGACACACTGCAAAACTTATGTAACATGAAAGTGAAGGTTAGACTATGTAGTACTGTTATGTAATACAATGTAGCCTATAAATAATCTAGAAACACCTTGAACACAAGGTGAGTCACAAGCCCTCCAAAGATGAGCTTCGTGCTGCTGATAAGTATTCTTCCTTCTAGAAAGTACAGATTATAATGTAGGCACCACATGTCCAGTAGACCAGGATATCATAAAATGTCCCCCCTGTTCTGTTGGCACTGGCATTTGCATTGTCTAAGCTCCACAGAAGTCTAATCTTGCTTTGTTGTTCTTAAGTATTTTATTAAAAGTTAAGAAAGAGTTATACAGGCTGTATGTTTTAACAGAGTAGAGAGTACTTTTTGATACACGGTCTGCTTTAATGCCACTTATTCTCTGTACTATCAATCTGCAATGTACTCAATTGACAATAGTAATAACAATAACATTCTATTTTAGAAACTTTTACCAAAAAATCAAGGACCATGATCTTCTGGACAAAAGGAAAACTGTGACAGCACTGAAAGCTGGAGAAGACAGAGCGATCCTCCTGGGGCTTACAATGATGGTCTGTTCCATTATGATGTATTTTCTCCTAGGAATAACACTACTTCGTTCATACATGCAGAGGTAATTTGGTCTCTGTCACCTCCAATTTGAATATATATGGCCTAATTGCCTTTACTAGTTTTTTTCTTTTATCTCCAAGTACATTCCCAATCTGTTTTAAAAACATTCATATGCAGTAGAAGATTTTGAGCGGTTTAGTACCAAACTGATAAGAGAAGAAATTGGGAGCTTTATATTCCAAACACATTTCCATTTTACTGCTTTGTATCTAGGTGCAGAAACATTCAAAAATTACAGCAGATGTCTCTGTAAAATAAAAGGGCACTGGTTTTAACAGTGGGTGGAATTCATCAAAGAATTCAGTAGCATAAGGGAAGAGAAGAGAAACAGATTAGGTTTAACACAGATTTCGGCATTTCATTGGATCAGGGAACCTGAAAAGTTTCTTCCTTTGCAAATTGAGAAATTCTATACCACAGCAATGCGTAATGCAAGATAGGGTACGATTTGTTCATTTAATTGTACTTGCTTGGTTTTTAGACTTTCTGGACTCAAATTAACATGTATTTAAAGATAAAACAGTGTCTTAGGGAGGGGGGTAGATTGGGATGCAAAAGGGAATGTTTAAATCTCCTGACTTTTTTTTCTGTCTGTGTTCTGTTAGAGAAACTTCACATCATTTCCTGTCCTGGAGACACAACTGGAAGCTTAGTGAATGTGGTGAAACTTCACTTCACAAAGAATACCCAATCACGTGCTACAAATTTAATAAAAGTATTTTTGTTCAATTCAAGCCCACTGTGTCCAAATAGTTTTCTGCATTTTTATTAGTCAGTTTATTATTTCAGTTTTATTTCTCAAAGTTCCGAGACTTCTATGACCACTACATTAGTTATGCCCTTTGTTCTTGCATATTTTCTTCTCGTAATGAATAAAAGTTCCATCCAAGTTTTATATCATGAGCTACAATTACATTTTTAAGTTTAGTAGCACTAGGCCCAGTTAATGTATCTGCCACAAAATCCTGGCTTGTATATGCTTATCAAAGGCTGGGGCTGGATATTTCTTGTGCAATGTATGGGCATGGTTTGAAAAAATATATGGAAAGGAAAAATAGTAAAGCTCTTTCAACTTGTTCCACTTCCAAAGGTACAAAATACTCTGTTCATAATTGTGTCTCTAGTTTTAGAGGGGACATTTCCCTTTACTTCCTGTCCCATAGATACAATAGGAAGTAAGGGGAAATCTCCCAAAAGTGAGGGAAAAATTCCATCATAAAGGTGTTCTCATTGGAAGATTTCCCCCAACTTCTTCTTCTGGGGAAACCTTTAAAATGTTTGATTTTTCTCCACATTTCTCTTCATGATGACAATGGTCAGAATGACAAAGAGAGGAGTGAATCTCCCCATTGGGGGTCTAACCTTTGCCAATTCTAGACAACATTTTTTTTGTTAGTTTTGGACAGAAATGCACTTAAACACACTGCAGATAAGAAGCTACACTGCAACTGACATGAGTAAAGGATTATAATGAGGTCCCTGGTTTATGTGTTGCTGTGGCAGTGGATTGAGAGGGTCAGGTTGTAGTAAAGCCATCCGACACAGCTCTCTGTGCTCCTCTTAGTACCCAGCTTTTTCCTTCTATTTGTTTAGTTCCTGTTTCCATAACATTTTATCTGAGTGTAAATATACTGTACCTGGAAACAAGACAGAAGGGATAACAGTGATAAACTGAACAGCTAGACAAACAGAGAAAGAGTAACATACTGCAAGCTTTCTAGATAGGAAAAAACACTTCTGTTTGCTGATTTCAAACAAATGGGGGGCTAGTGCTATATGTGACTGAAATACAGGTGAAACTCGAATAATTAGAATATCGTGCAAAAGTAATTGCAGTAAGTGCTGCAAAAGGGGCCCAAACCAAGTACTGAGTACATATGCATGCTTGTACTTTTCAGAGGTCCGATATTGTTCTATGTACAATCCTTGTTTTATTGATTGCATGTAATAATCTACTTTTTTGAGGTTGTGGATTTGGGGTTCTTGGGGTTTTCATGAGCTGTAAGCCATAATCATCACAATTATGACAAATCACGGCTTGAACTATCTTGCTTTGCATGTAATGAGTCTATCTCATATATTAGTTTCACCTTTTAAGTTGCATTAGTGAAATAAATGAACTTTGCACGATATTCTAATTATTCGAGTTTCACCTGTATATTGGAATAAAACAGCAGCAATTCAGCTTGTATGCACAGGTGATAGATGCATCTATTTCCTGCTTACAAATGCTAATGTTCATATACAGTATGTGTTCATTTAGTTTTACTGTCTCCACAGAACATTTCAATAAGTGACACTTTAATCAGGCTGCCTCTCACCCAGCAAAGTCTCTGCGACAGGTTTTTAGTATATTTGCAACCCATGCGTCTGTATTCCTGGGCAACCAACTATGACAGATTTGCAAATCTCTGATTTGACAGATTTATCACTTGAGATAAGACAGATTTTCACTCTACACTGATGCATAATTAAGAAGTGGTCAGGGTTAGGTTTTATTCTGTTGCAGTGCTACTTTAGAGCAATTGAGGGAGGAATTTATGACCCATGCTTTAACCTTGTAGTAAATGGGTGGCATGTTCTGTCTCATTGCTTCTGTTTAGTAGTGCCTTGCTGTGCGACAGAAATACCAAATGTCCCCTATCATTTATATATTCATAGGCATTCAGAAGTCGGTTGCTGGGGCAACAAGATACTGATATCCCCCCTTAGCAACATAACATCAAGTGTTAGCAGCAAAACATCAATCATGAAATGCAAAAAGGTATTACAGACTTGCCCAATTACCATACTTTCAAACCATTAAGGGTACCTTTCTAAAGCTGGCTATAGACCTTTATATTTCTCTTTCTCAGTCCGCAGGCTGAAAAGGAAAAATCAATTGATTCCTCCTTCCACACTAAAGAATGTGGATGAAGGACTCTACCCTGCTGGCTATTGTACTCAGCAGCTGGTGGGACCCACAGCTGCTAAGTACCCCAAGCTGCTAAGTACCCCAAGTGCAGTCATTGTTCAGCCAACAATTTTCCACCCAGCTCCTTCCACAAAAGTCAATTGAAAAATCAACTTTTATTGACCCAGGTGATGCCAACAGGGCAACCCACAGTTTGATGTTTGGACAAAATTCAAGCAGTGTATGCCCATCTTAAAGGTGTTTTGCAAGTTGGGAGCTCAGAGGTCTTCTGGCTGTGAGGGTGCCCACTGCTGCGAGGGACAGGAGAAGAAATATACAGCAGCTACAGGACTCAAAGATGCTGCAGCCCTCACTGATTAACATGTAGCATAACGATCTTTCATTGACCCGTGGAAAACCCCAAACCGACCCCCCTCCTTACCCTCCCCTCGTTTTTTCCCCCTATTACTGCTTCACTTCTTGATTGCTGTTGCACTTTCTCCGTCACTATGGTTGTACTTCACTCAGAGATTGTTATCTCAATAGGATTTGTTTTTTACTAAAACGGACTTAAACTATTAAGTAAATCTTTGAAAGAGGATCAGCCATTAGTCCCCTACACTGATTAGTGCTATGTATGATGTTGATGTTAACTTTATATAACCCTTATTATATTTCCCAATGCATATTTCTATTTGATTGTTTGATTTTGGTACGTGCACCATGTATAAGTGTTTATGCGTATCTTATTGTTTTCTGTTAAAACTCCTAATAAAAATAATTAAACATTTTTAAAAATGTAGCATAGTACAGAATTTATGTTGAGGGGTGCACCGATACCAATACTAGTATCGCTGCTGATACTGAGCATTTGGGCAAGTAGTCGCAGATCCCCTCTGACTGGCAGTGCCGTGAGGCAGCATGGAGCCAGATTCATGACCCGCCCCACAACTTTCTGATTAGCTAGGAAGCTGGCTTCACACTGCCTAGCAACACTACCAGGCAGCCTGGCTTCTTGATTCACCGTCTGGCTTCCTGATTTGCCGGAAAGCCGGGCCCATGCTACCTCAGAATGCCGATATCGGTACTTGATATCAGTGAGTACTAATAAAAAATATATCGGTACTCGATACCGAAAAAACGGTATCGATACATCCCTATTGAAAATGTTTTACCTATAATGGGGGTTCAGCAGCACTTAGTGAGCATGTTACCCGTGTTGATGCTTGTGTGCCTGAACTACTATGGGGTCTATTCACTAAGCTGCCGTAGGCAGCCGAGTGAAAGACCGACCTGAAGTGAATTGAGCCGAACGCTGTTCGGCTATTCACTTCAGGCTGGTACGGCTGATTTCACACTGCATCAGGTGGCTTTGCGTGGCTTCGGGACCGGAAGGGCAGAAGGAGTTCGACTCAGCCGATCCAACATCTGGATCGGCTGAGCCGAACCTCCGGCAGGCTACTCGCTGCTGTTCGGTCTATTCTCATAGATGCCGAACAGCAGTGAGTGAATAGCCGAACAGCAGTGAGTGAACAGCCGAATAGCGGCATTCGGCTCGACTTTCAGCGCCGCTCAGCCAAGCCGAGGCATATGGGTTCGACTTGACTGAGCCGCTCGGCCAAGTTCGGGAGCTGTACGGGCTATAGTGAATAGCCCGTTAGCAGCCCTTCGGTTCTACTCAACCAAAGGGGTCCTGGGGCAGAAGCTAGCCGAAGGGTCGGCCGAAGCTACGGCTAGATCCTTCGGCTTCTTTGTGAATAGACCCCTATGTATGTGATTTCCTGTCATGTGGTATTAACATAAGCCAGCTTTAAAATTGAATTCTAAAGCCCTAGGCTTAGAATTATTAGGATTATTGTAAAATAGGGTTACAAATATGGATTATTTTTGTACAGCGAGGATTCCGTTTACATTGTTTTGCTCAGGAGAAAACTAAAGTAGCATTTCAGTTTTGCAGACGTGCTCTTGAATCCATTTAGTCCTGGGTCTCACTGTTGGACCCATGGCCACCTTGAGTACCACTGAATTAAATGAACTGCAAGCTTCTTACACATACAAGCAGATGACAACATTTATATGTATTGTTGCTAACGTATTCAAAAACTTCA